GTTTAAAACTTGAGAGACTAAAATTAGAATGAGGGCAAACTTGAGGTATTAAAAATTATATTGGCCCAAAATTAATAATAATGCTAATTTTTAAAATATTTTAATATAAATTCTGAATGTTTATCAGATAATTTTTTTGGTAAAATGACAGAAAAATGAGACTTAAGTTTGAAAATTTTTAAATAGTCACCTGAATAATAAAAAATTCTATTTTAATCATATTTGACCAATTAGAAAATTTTTTAAGTTTACTAAAATAACCATATTGTCTTAAGTATTTTTTATAAGAAAAAAAAGAAACGCAAGCACAAGTTACAACTCATTTAATATGGTCAACATATTTTTTAACTCTATTAATAAGTTTGTTATCATCTTTAACAACAGGTTGCTAAAATTATAAAAGTGCTACTTTTTAATTTCTTGAAAAATCTGTTGTTAAAAATGATATCGAACTTATTAATAGCATCAAACAACTTGTTAATTGTATTACAGAAATTATAAATTTTTCCACTTATGTTGTCATGACTAATCTCCCCGCAAATATAAGAAGAGATAACATCAAATGGTTCATCGCATCATGCAAATTGTTTATATCATTACATAATTTGTTAATAGTGTTAGTGAAGTTGTAAATGCGTTACTTTTTTAATTCCTTGAAAAGTCTATTAGTAAAGGCGATAATAAACTTATTCATAATGTTAAAGAACTTATTAACCGTGTTATAAGAGTTATAAAATTTTTCATTTATGATGTCATGTAGCATTACATGAGTTGTTCATATCATTACATGATTTGTTAACAGTGTTACTAAAACCAATGAAAAATGCCACTTTTTTAATTTTATGAAAGGTAATAACAAAATTATTAACAGTATTAAAAAATTTATTAACCGCCTTACATGATTATGGGTGTGTATATTTGTATATATTCATATTCGTCGGTGCAAAAAATTCAATCAATGATGCTTACGTTAAACATATATGACGAGTCGAGTTACTCAATCACATCTGGCCCATAAAGCATTTGTTTTCTTTGATATGGGAAAACTTTTAAAATAAGTTGAGGTTTTGCAATCATTAAACCATTACAGGGTCAGGCATTCAGGCCATGGGCATAGCTTGATTCTGTTGGAATGTTTGTTCTCCACACAATATATATACTCCTCTGATTTTTTTTTAATAAAATATTTTCAGTATATTTCATACGGACAAAAAAGATAATTACCTACACTAATAAATGAAAGACACAAATAGTATATTCATGTTAAAAATTTAATAAAGTGATTTATAAATAAAACAAAAAAATTCTCTCTCTATCCTATAAATAGGACTAGATGAGTGTATATATATATGTGTGTGAGAAATTAGTGTGAGGTCCAAAAACATTATACATAATTATCATAAAATGTTAATCAAAAGTGAGCAGTATAAATTTTGTTGTTAATTCTTATAATAGAATGTATTATTTATTTATTATCAAATTTTATGATAATTATATATATTTTCTGAGACGACATAGTAATTTTTTTATACTCAACTTTGCAAGTGTATGTGCAAGAGAGAAAGAGAGAGATAGTCATAATTATTTATAATGATTTATATGCACACCTTTTAAAAAAATTAAAGCTGAAATATTACCTTCACTCTTAGTTATAAGATTACATACGAAGAATCATAATTAGAATAGGAGGTTAGCTCCTCCAGCTAATTTACTTGGCTCAAGATAATAATACCCATTACCCATCTCATCTCATCAATTTATTTTGATAAGATGTGTTAATAATTGTCTAATGAAAGTAGATAAATTAATTTTACAAATAAGTTACATAAATTTAATAATGTTTTAAAAATTATTTCAACTTGTTTATAAAATTGAATTAAATTTAATACTTGACGTTACAATCTAACAAATAAGTTTTCCTCAAAATGTTGAAAATGACATGATAGTTTGACCTGCCTTATTGGGTTTCGTTTGAGTGATAAATGCGAAATAAAACATGGATAATATTCAAGGTTTAAAGTGGTGTTAAAAAAACATAGTTTGAGCAGCTCTTTTCTTCCCAAGAGTTTGACCAGCCCATTAAGCTACATCGAGTTTCGAGTTTAAATACTAAAATTATAGATTAATAAAAATTAAGTTTAAGCCGCCCTATTAAAGAACTAGAGCGAACTAGATAATTCGACCAAGAGAGTGTTTGGGTACCCCAATAATCACTTTTCAAAAACATTTTTTTATAAATCGAGACAAACTATTCCACATATTTATCCGTATACCATAAAAGTACTTCTGAAACCATGATTTGAATCTTACTCAAACACCCGCCAATTGGATCTGCTAAAGGCTTAGTGCCCGTTTGGATAATGTGATTGTAGATAAAATTATCTTTTATAAAATTTTTATTTAATTATTATGTTAATCAATAACATTTTCAGTTTAACATACATTACTGCTTTTAAAACATTACTTCAATCATAAAATTTAAAATTATCTTACTGGAGTTTAAATGGACTAAAAAGTTAAGAATGTGTCATCTAACTTGACATAAAAAATTACTTATAACTCCCAAAAATTAGCTTTCATAAACATTAAACTAGACTGGTTATCGAAGTGGTCCAAACAATTGTTTAAGGGTTAGTGATTCAATTAGAATTAAATCAATCATAATTAAAATAACATAATTTAATTAAAATCTATAAAAATATTCATGTATAACCGTAAAATAAGTAATATTTAAATAAAAAATTAATCAAATGAAAAAGTCATGCATAAATCACATGATCCAACAAAACGAAGTTATTAAATCATAAATATGATGAACTGGTATTTTCTTAAAAATTTATCACATCATTTCAAGTTTAATAAAGAAAAATTATATGAAATTTAGCACAATCAACCCATACAACACGTTCGGGTTAATTCTAGGTTAGCAGGGTTGATCATGAATCAATTAATTTCCAATTAAGTAGGTTGACCGGATTATTGGTTCAATTATCGATTCACCAGATCATTGGTCCGATTATCCAGTAGGATATGGGTTTCAACTCTATAATTAAAATATTACCGGTTCGGATCTTCAATATGGAACCTAATTAGTGAGTTGTGCAAGACTTATTTCATATGTTTATCATTTTTTTACCAAATTAATCTTATTAATACTCTCCCAACAATAATCAAATAGAAGAGAAAAGGAGGAAATTAAGAAAAATATTTAGGGTGTTTTAGAAAAAACTTATCATATTAACTAATTTAACTAACATTCTTAATCTATACAAATTAATTAACTAAATTTTATATCAAGGAAATGAGAAGTACTGGCTATCTTTTTTTACTTATTATTTATATAGTGCCTCCTAATGCCCGAAAAAGGCAAAACAAAACAAAATAGACATCTTTATATTATTTTTTTGAAAATTGAGAAAATCTCTTAAAAAAAAATTAAATAACTTAAATTCTTATTTAGGTCATTGAATTTATCAAATTTCTAATTAGATCACATAACACAAAGAGGGATTTTCAAATTTTATGAAATGACTATAATTTCTTTTCATTACAGATCTAAAGAAATGAGAATTTTCTGTCATTTTCAATTTGTTAATTTAGAGTTAAAAAGTGTTAGCTGCATAATTAAACTTATTAATTTTTAAATTTGTATCATGATCATTTTTTATTCAAAGACTTGTTAAAAGTGTGCTTCAGAGACAAAAAATTGTTAATTTAGAATTAAAATATGTTAAATGTTAAATCTAACATATTACTTTTTAATATTGTATTGTGATCAAATTTTATTCAAAGACTTATTGCAAGTATTATGGGAACCTAAAACTATTAATTTAGAATCGAAACTTGTTAACTACGACCTCCGGTCTTTAATATAAGATTTCCTTTGATTTTTATTTTGGTTCTAAATATATGACCTTAATTTACTTTATTTATCATATTTATCCTTGTTTTTTTAAGAGAGTCCTTCTAATAATCATGGGTCTAATCAATAAACTTAATTAGTAAAGATATTTTAAGAAAAATAACACCTATTTATTACAAATAACTAACTTAACTTACTTCCTTAATTTACTCAAATGAGTCAATTAGCTATTATATTTAGGACTGGTGGTAGTATGTAATTAAACTTATTAATTTTAAAAGTTGTATATGGTGATAAAACTTTATTTAAAGACTTATTACAAGTGTGTTATAAAGACAAAAAATTATTAATTTAGAATTGAAATGTATTAATTGTTAAAAAAATTGGAAAAATTCTAGAAAAAGCATTTGGAATATAAGAAATTTCAGGTTGGGTTCTGAAATTTTGAAAATGATAGAAAAGGTCAATGACCTAATCTGTCATTTGCAAAATCAAAAGGAATTGACAACTTTGTCTTCGTTTGTATTCAATACAATGATTTAAGGAATCACTATAAGTGTTTTTTTTTTTATCTGAATCACTATAAGGGTTTAGGCGTTACGAAAAAGTGAGTAATTATTCTCTACACAAATCTAGGTAACGCCTAAACCCTTAGAGTGATTCCTTAAATCATTGTAATGAATACAAATGAGGATAAAGTTGTCAATTTTTGTTGATTTTATAAATGACAAATTGGGTCATTGACCCTTTCTGTCATTTTCAAAATTTCAGGATCCAATTTGAAATTTTTTATATTCCAAAGACTTTTTTTGAGATTTTTCTAAAAAAAATTTGACTAGAAGTATTAGCTGTAAAATGAAACATGTTAATTTAAAATTTTTTTTTGGTTTCTAATAAAATGAACATTAAAATCATTTCATAAAATTTTAAAATTATTTTTTGAATCATGTGACCTGATTAAATGTTTGATAAATTTAATGACTTAAATAAAATTTTTGATTATTTAAGTATATTTTCAAAAGATTTTCTCTTGAAAAATTCCCCAGATTGAAACAATTCTAGAAAGATTGCAAGAGAGTCGTATAAAAGCGATCAAAACATCTGCTTCACTTGCTACTCTCCTGATCCAGGCCCAGCCACATCCTCTCTACTCACACCTACCGTTCTTGCTCCAACAGAACAAGCAGAAAGAGAAGAGAAAAAATTTTCCATGGAAAATGAAACAGAAACATCAACGAATCATCATAATCTCTCAAACAAGTCGGCTTCTACTACTTCTGGATCGTACTTACCTTCCGATGGAGTTGAAATGCGAAGCTTCAGATCATACCTTCGATGGGTTTATGTCGATCATTCAAACATCTGCAGAACATCTCTGTCATGGTCTCTCTTCTTCTTCTTGGCCTTCCTCGTCCCTCTTCTCTCACACTTCCTCTTAGCTTGTTCCTCCACCTGCGACGCCGATCACTCTCGTCCCTATCACATTCCGGTTCAGATTTCTCTCTCCGTCTTCGCGACGCTCTCGTTTCTCAGTCTCTCTCGCTGGGATAGCAAGTATGGAATCCGCAAGTTTCTCTTCATTGATAAAGTCGGCGACGAGAGTCACAAGATCCGGCGAGGCTACGCCGAGCAGCTTCAGGTTTGTCTCTCTGTGAAATCTTTTTCTCGTCGCTTCTGGGATCTTCTTCTGGATGGATAAGAACGAACCATCAGCACAGTGAAAACTAATATAAGAACCTAGCGAGAGAATATTTCAATTCCACATACAATTTGAATTCCATAGATAATTGATCGCAGAAAACACCACATAAGAGACGATAACGTTCTTCATCAAAAGATTAAAGATATATGAATAATCAATCTTCTGGGGAAATAATTACAACTTGAATCAGAGAGATGATAAGTACAGAAACCAGATTAAGAGAAGAGGATAGATCAAAGAAAATTTTTTTACTGTGTTTTTCAAAAGAGTAAAGATAAAAGGCGGATCAGATAACATGTTAGTTTTTTCCCTCCAGTTTTTTGGCCAAATATTTCCCCTCCAGTTTTACATGCTCCTTTCCATTTACTTGGCAGATATTATTTTGTTTTATTTATTGTAGTGTATATAATTATTTTTTTTAAAAGGTATAGATATTACATGTTGGAAATTTGTTATATTTTTTTAAAAAAGCTACAGATTAAAGCTTTTCTTAATTTACATAAAACATCCTGAAAATGTAAATAGAAGTAGAAGAGTATAAGAAAAAAATTACTTCTCATGATTACTAAAGTTAAAATTTTAATTAAAAAATAAATTTAGAATAAACTAAATTATTTGTTATTAATTAAATAAATAATTAATAATTTTTTTGGCCAAAAAGTAATTAGTGAATTTTTTTTATAACTTAAAATATCTTTAAGTCATTTTAAACTTAAAACCAATTTTTAGTCGGTTGAGATAAATCACCCTGGCTTGTGACCTTAATAGGGGGCTTAAGATGATGCTTGAATAAGCAGGTTCTAATGTGAAGGGACTCTTGTAATCGCAATTAATGAATTAAATTTAATGACTAAATTATTTAAATGAATTTGAGCTTTTAGGATAAGATGAACCCATCAATGAGGGCCCAGCGAAAAATCGTTCAATACTTTTTCCTCATCTTAGTATTTTGCACCCGCTGAATTATAACTTCCGCATATTTTGGGTTGGGAGATATTTTTTTATCTTTTAAAGATTTTACTTTGAATACAGCCCACCAAAGGGGGAAAACTATAATCAAAGACCAAATCTACTTTAATGGAGTTTAATCATTGTGGCGGCCAATATCCACCTTCTCAAAATTATGTAAATATGATGTATACTAATTACCCTCAATAATCAATTACTCTATATTGTTTTCAATGCCACCCACTTTCTGTCACATATTACTACAATTTTAATATTCACGTCTCATAATTTTTTGGGACATCACATATATTTATTACATATATCACAAACTTATTTTTTTTTTAGTAAAGGTAAATTGTTTTACGTATCGTATATTTATTTTTTAAATTTTTCTTAATCAAATTTGATTGATTTTAATGTTGAAGAAATTTTTAAAAAATTCTTTTTCATGGTTTGATTTTTCTTAATTAAATTTGATTGATTTTAAGGTTGAAGAAGTTTTAAGAAAAATTTCTTTTTCAAGATTCTTCTTTCTAAGACTTCATTCACACCTCTTCTTCTTCTTACATTCCCGGAAATTCTTTTCTTATTTTCCTTTCTTTCTTTTAGCTTTATGACTAAAATGTTGATATTTTAATGTAACTTTTAATTTTAAAATACGCTTTGACTTAAAATTAGACCCCCCTAATTTCTATTTGTTTTTAACTGCGGTGTAGACATAATATTAATTGCAGTTATATTAATTTTAGTTCCGAGAATGCAAAATTATAATTAAATATTTATTTATGTAATACTTCCTCTAATCATAAATATAAGAGAGAATTAAATAATTTGTAGTGATTAAAAATTATTTAAATTATTTACTTGTAAAAATGTGTATTAATTTTCCTGAAATACCATTTTTTATCCACTTACTGAAAAATTCACTTGATATATGTAATTAATAGAAAAAGTTTTAAAAAATATTATAAATTTGATAAATAAAATGAATAAAATTAAATGTTGTAAGTCTCACATTGAAGAACTTCTCAAGTGTAGTGTGGTTCATAAGTTTAAAGTTTCTCCTTTCTAATAGACAAATCTTTTGAGATTATCCTTTTTATATTCATAAAGGCACTCTCATTGACAGTCCGATATTCATAGAGAGGATTACCCACGAAGGGTCCCATTAGCTCTCAAAGAAGTTGTTTGTTATTATTGGTTTCACACTGAAAAGCCTCACAAGTGTGGTGTAGTTTATAAGTTAAATAAAGTGATTCTTCCTCTTCATAGCTTAGTTTTTTAGGATTAGGCCCTTTTTTTTTTTTTTTGCACTTGTATCCATAACATAAAAGAAACACTTTTGCTAATTCTTACATTTATGATAAGCCGGAGGGAGTATAAAATTTCTGAATTCATCACTAATGCTAACTAACTCACCAATGGTTGCAGAAAACCATGAAGCTCATTTTGCTTTGGGGGCTACCTTGTTTCCTAGCAGAAAGTGGGTACAAAGTATGGTGGTACATCTCAGGAGCACATGAAATACCATACTATGGTGATCTATACATTAGTGACATGACATTGTTCATACTTGAGTTACTTTCATGGCTGTATCGAACCTCCATATTCTTCCTAGTTTGTGTCCTCTTTCGTCTCATATGTTACCTTCAAATCCTGAGGCTTGAAGATTTTGCTCAAGTGTTTCAGAAAGAAACAGGAGTTGGATCAATATTAATGGAGCATCTAAGAATGAGAAGAAACTTGAGGATTATTAGTCATCGTTTCAGAGGATTTATTCTGGCTTCTTTGATTTTGGTCACTGCTAGCCAACTCATATTTTTGCTCCTCACTACCAGAACTGGTGCTGATGTTGATATACTTAAAGCTGGCGAACTTGTGGTAATTACCAATTCCTTCAACCTGACTTTTGTATTTAGTTTGAGTTTTAATCATAGCATTTTGGTTAAATGATTAAAGCATTCATGAGTAATGATTCACAGATTAAAATTAAATTACTCCTCTGGTCCTTAATATAAAACCCATTTAACTAATTTGATTAGATTAAGGAAGTTAGGTAAGTTAGTTAATTATAAGAAAAGTGACACATTTTTCCTAAAATACCATAATCATCTTTTTTAATACCCCATCTCCCTCTTCTATTTGATTATGGTTGAGGGAGTATCTATAGGGGTAATTTAAAGAAAATTGATAAATATGAGAAATGGGTCTTATATTTAGGACAAAAAACAACTCAAGAATTGGGTCCTATATTAAGGACCGGAGGAGTAATAAGGATTAAGATGCAAATTTATCTTGAGAGTTTTCACTCAGGAATACTGGGCACTTGGAAGTTTTTCTTAGTTTAATATGACTTTGGAAGCTTAAAATAATCGTAGCAATTTTGTCTTTTACCGTTAAAAATATAATAGTCAATATTACTATTTTAAGAATTAATATTAGTTTTTTACTAGTAGGAAACTACTGTCTTGGTGGAAAACCTTAATATGTGTAATCAATGAAAAAAATTGAAAAAATTATAAATTTGAAAGATAAAGTAGATTGGAGTTAGAATGAAAGCAATTTTCTTGATTGATTCTTACAGTTAGGATAAAAGGGAGTATGATATATACAAGAAAAACTATGTTTCTTTTCTTCTTCTTTTTTCAATTTGTTGATGTCAAGAAAGAGTAACTAATATATATTGAATTGTGGATGAAAAATAATGGATGCAGTTAGTGTCAATTACTCTTGTGAGTGGGCTTTTCATAATGCTGAGAAGTGCTACGAAGATAACACATAAAGCTCAATCTGTGACAAGCCTTGCAGCGAAGTGGCACATCCTTTGCACCATAAACTCATTTGATAACATTGAGGATAATGGAGAGACACAGCATGTGGAAGCTTCATCAGCTCAAGCTTTTGCACTCACTACAACTAGTTGGGGATCAGAAGACGATGAGTTAGGAGATGAGGAGGATGAATTAGATAACACAAAATTGCTTCCCATATTCACACATACTGTCTCCTTCCATAAGAGGCAAGCTTTAGGTAAGTTAATTTCTCCAACTTCATTACCAATGATTGCTACATTTTGATGTTCTTCGTTACCAAAAATAGAACATCATAGCTACTAATTTAATCTACAAAGAGTTCATATAATTTTTTGTTTCTAAAATTTGTTCCTATTTTGGTTTTAATCTCTCAAATTTCAAATATGTAGTTTTAGTTCTTGAAATTTAGTCTGTCTTAAAACATTAGTCTCTATAAATGTAAATGTGTTAAAGTCTATTGAAATGTCGTAAACGGCGTTAAAGTAGTGATATGTGAACTCACCAATAAGACCTAAATAGATCATATATGGGTAACTGAAAATAAAAAAAGAAGAGTAGACCTCAAAACAATGTTGTTTAGCCTCTTTTTTCCTCATTATTCTTTTGAGGAATTGTTCATTACACTGCGTTTTAAAAAATCACCCTCTCTATGTAATCATGCTCTGCGTTGCATTTTGAGGATCTTTTTTTTTTTTTAATCCTCACAAGATCTAACAAGGTGTCATCTAATGAGTTTATACTATCAATTTAATGTCACTTATGACATTTCAGTAGATTTTAACACTGTTACAAGTCTAGAGAATAATGTTGTAAGACGAACAAAATTTCGGGGACTAAAACAACTACTTTCAAATTTGAGAGAACAAAACTATAACAGGGCCAAATTTCAAAGGCCAAAAGTTATATTAACCTATCTACAAATGATGCATATTATTAATTTATTGCATGAAGCGGTTGTAACTTGTAAGAGATAGGTAGAAAGAAAATATTAAGATGGTTGTAACTTCTAATTCTTCATAATACTCTCTTGCAAATCTTGTGTTTGAATATATATGTAGCGTTTATTTTCTATTTTTGTTTGTTAATTTATGATTATGAATGTGGATGCAGTGACGTACATGGAAAATAATAGGGCAGGAATCACAATGTTCGGATTCATGCTTGATAGAATGTGGCTTCACTCTATTTTTGCCATCCAGTTAGCCCTCTGCCTTTGGCTACTTAACAAGACAATTGGTGTTTAACCATCTCTCTACTTCATACAAGCTAATATATGTATGTAATTTTAATTTGATGCAGGTAACCAAGTTATATATTAATTTTCTCTTTTAGAAGAAAATTTAAACCTCTTAGAAAAATTAAGGTGAATTAGTTAGTTAAAATAGGCTCTATATAAAAAATCTTAGTATGAATGTTTAGGTGTGATGGGATGTGGAGTCCCTACCTTGTAGAAAAGAGTTAACTTGGATATCTCTCATAAGCCCGCAAGTGTTTAGGGCTGATCACTCTCCAAAGAAAAAGTGTTGATTGTTTCTCCTGTATTGCAATGCTGAATGTTTGATAATAAAATTTATTATAGGTTTATTATCATTTTTGGATACCTAGTTAACATGGTATCATAGTAGGTTATTTTGGGCCTGGTCTAGTTGTTTTTCTTGATTACCTAGTCAACATAACCCCATCTCCTTAACCTAAATAAATATTATTTAAAAAAAAAAAAACCAAATAGTTAAGCTCTTTTATGTACAAAAGAGAGGGACTGTACAGAATCTATTTTTTCTCTTGTACAATTTATTAAGTGATGACAATGAATGCAACATTTATAAATGTATCTTGACTTAATATTTATATGGGAAAATTTTGTATAAATACTATTTAAATTCTAAAATTCTAAATAAGTTATTTCAATTTCACAAAGGACAAATAACTCTATATATATTAAATTGGGATGTATAAATTTTGACAAATTATCTCCATATCTTTTTTTCTCATTTCCCTTTTTGTCTTCTCTTTGAGTAATGAAATTGACAATACCTCTAGCTAATTTGACAAATTCAGTAATATCATTTACAATTGCTTTTAGTCACTTCATCAAAACTTAAGAAGAATTCAATTAGCAAGTCATTAATTAAGCCGTTTTTTTTACACTTGCAATGAAATTAACAACACCTTTAACCATTTTTCACAATTTCAGTAACACCATTTATAATTGTTTTTAATCATTTCAAAACTTATGGAAAATCAATCAAGGAGTCATTGTTTAAGTCATTTCCTAAACTTGAAACGAAATTGACAACACATCTCACAATTTTGGCAGCTTCGGTTGTGTTATTTACAATTGCTTTTAATCACTTCAAAACTTAGAGAGAATTAATGAGAGGGTCATTATTTAAGTTGTTTCTTACACTTACAATGAAATTAACATCTTTATATTTGTTTTAAATCATATCAAAACTTAGGGGGAATTGAATTAGGGGACATCATTTAAACCGTTTCCTACACTTGTAACAAAATTGACACCACCTCTAATAATTTTGACAGCTTCGTTAATGTCATTTGCAACTGTTTTTAATCACTTAAAAATTTTGGAGAAATTCTATCTGGAGGTCATTATTTAAGTCATTTCATACACTTACAGCAAAATTGATAACACTTCCGGCCATTTTCATAGCTTTGATAATGTCATTAACAACTCATTATATTCTTTTGCATTATTTAAGCCATTTCCTACACTTGTAGTGATATTTACAACACCTCCAGCCATTTTAACAACTTAGTTCATGCAATTTACAACTTTTTTTTTGGCAATTTTCAAACTTGGCTAATTATATTCAACCAGGGGGTTTATTGTTTAAGATACAAGTATTCATCTATTGTATTAATTGCATGCCATGAAAAAATGACTAACTGTGCAATTTTATTGAACAATGCATAATAATATGATTTACAACACTTTCAATGGACTTGACAACTGTACTAACGACATCTATCAAAAATTAAAATGCACATGACAGCAACTACATTTGTTGCGACTAGGGCTAAGCAAAAAAACCCGACAGTCCAAGTAACCCGATCAAGGAGAAATTAGTCAAATCATGAAACAAGACCACACTGGACCAGATCAATTGATCGGATTGGACCGAGTTCTAGACCAAGCATTTCGATCACTTGGTTTGGTCTAGTCTTGGCCAAGTAATTTTTTTTTTTTTTGCTTTATACTCTACCCTTCCATATATTGTTGTTCTGCCAGTCTTATTCTGACTCATATGATCACTCTCTCTCACTCTCTCCAAGACTCTCAAAGACTCAACCTCATATGGCAAATGCAAAAGAGAGGAGACAAACTTGAAACCCTATCAATGGTGGCCTCCCTCTCAGCCTCACTTGCCCAATCACGGTTAGCCCCATTACCCTTCAAATCTTCCCCTCATTAACATTCCTCAAAAACTTGAAAGTTGAAACCATGCTCGCATTTGATTACTCACTCACCCTTGTTAGTGTCGCATCTAGTCGCTCAACCCTACCCTCGTTAAAGTCTTCCTCGCGTCGCGCATTTGGCATTGCTTACATCTCTTCTCTTTATTGTCTCCCCGCCATTTTCCCTTACTTCTCTCAAGTTTGAAAACCATGCTCTATTCTTGTTCTTGTAGCTAAACAAAAGGCCAAGAATGAGCATATATAATGAGGTAGGATAATTAAAATATGCATGCAGACATGTGTTATGCGTTAAATAATAATTCATAGTTATAGAAATATATTATGACACAAGACTTCTAATTTTATATAGGAAAAAAGGGAATCAAAAACCCAATTTTATGATTAACATCTTACTAAATTTAGTATTTCTTTGATTTTTTTTTTGCCTTCAACTTTACGGGAGTGAAGTAATTTGGAAATGAAACTTATATAATTGGTAGCTTTATTTGCACATTTTGAAGAAATCTTTAGTGTATTTATTTTAATGGTATTTATTTGTGTTTTATCTTTCTGTAGTCATAGATATTGAGCAATTTTCTAGTGTTGACCAATCTCAATCTTGTCCTGTTACTAGTGATAATGTGACTCCAATCCATAGTGGACCATCTTCTACACCTAGTGGTCTTAGTTCTCATTCTCACCAACCTCCAACCACTACAAAACATGCTCCCCCTACTCAAACAGCTGTAATTGGAAATGAAGCTACCAAAGGTAGTAAGAAGAGAAAACAACTTGAGAAGAAATAATCACAATGTGGGATCACTTTACAAAGTTACTCTCGAAGGAGACAAATGGAGAAATTAGAGCTGCATGCAAGTATTGCAACATAGATTATGCTTGTGACCCAACCAAGCATGGGACAACATCTTTGAAAAGACACCTACGAAAATGTCAAAGAAACCTACACAAGGCTACACAAATACCAAAACAATCTATGTTGAATTATATAGCACCAGTTGGCCAAGGGGGAAGCTTAATGACTCATGTGTTCAATAAAAAACAATATCATAGGGCTCTTGCTAAGTTCATCATATGTGATGAAATGCCATTTAGGTTGGTTGAGAAGCAAGTCTTTAAAACATTTGTCAAAGTCTTGGAGTCGTGACTTTAGATCTCTTCAAGAACAACAGTTGCTAGAGATTGTTGGAAATCATATCTTGGTAAAGCTAGGATCTTGAAGAATCTGTTAAGGTAATGTGCTAATCATATTTTCCTCATTATGAATTATTGGACGTCGGTCCAAACCTTCAATTACTTATGTCTCATAGCTCACTCATTGATAATGATTAGAAATTACATAAAAGGATTCTTAATTTTTGCATGACTAAGAATCATATGGGTGGCATGATCGAAAAAACAACTGAGAGGTGCTTATCAGCATAGGGCATACAAAATGTGTTCACTATTACTGCAGATAATGCAACATCCAATGATTCAGTCTTGCTATATTTGAAAAGAAGACTAAAGAAATGGAAGGTCTTGTTTGTGGTGGCAATTATCTTCAACTACAATGTTGTGCACATATTCTCAATTTGATTGTTAATGATGGCTTGAAGGAATTGAAAGATACCTTTGAATCAATTTGGAATACTGTCAGGTATGTTCATTCTTTCCCTACACGTCTCCAAAAATTTAAAAATGTTTGTGAATTGGAAATGTTAGATGCTAAAAATATGTATTGCTTAGATGTTAACACTATATAGATTTCCACACACACACACACACACACACATATAATGTTCGATGTTGCTTTGAAATTCCAAAAGAGACTTGAAAGATTGGGGGATGAAAATAAAGATTATATCACACATTTTAACAAAGGTTCAAGATGTGATATCACAAACATTTTTAGTGAAAGTCTTTTTGATGGTGATAACATAGATGCTATTCTAGGTAAGCTCCTCATAAGCAAGTTGCTAAGCATAATGGCTCTCCTAACAAATAAGCTTGGCATAAGGTATAGGTCTTTCTTACATTTTTAAAAGTGTTTTATAATATCACCTTGTTGTTTTCTAGCTCAATAATAGTTATTACAAACACATGTTCCCAAATTGTATTAATTCATGAGCTGCTAGATAAGGCTACTCAGTTTGATGACTTTTTTCTTTGGGAGATGTCTTTAAGCATGAAAATGAAATATGATAAGTATTAGGGAGTAGTAGATAATTTGAATCCTTTGTTGATTATTATTGTAATTCTAGATCTTCAATACAAGCTTGTCTACATCAACCATGCTTTTAAGCAACTTTTTTTTTATCCTGAACTTTACTTGTCCATGAAAAATAAGGCAAAGAACACTTTGTGTTGCCTATTTGAGGAGTACTCTGTAATGAATGGTCAAAAAAACTTTTAAGTCTGGTAATTCCAGCACTTGTACTTTTTTTGTAGTGTTAATATTTCAAGTGCAAATGATGGTAAAAAAAGACCTTGGTCGTAGATAGTTGGCATCCTAAAAAGAAAAGAACTTATCAGTAGATACTCAATCAAAGTTAGATAGATATTTTGTAGCTAATTTATCTGAAGACATTCCTGCTGATGATGATGCTTTTGATATATTGACATGGTGGAAGGTTAATTCTACCAAGTATAGAGTGCTTTTCATGATTGCACTTGATGTAATGACTATACGAGTATCTACAGTAGCCTCTGAATCAGCTTTTAGCACCGGAGGATGTGTTGTTGATGATTATAGGAGTTATCTATCTCCTAAGATGACTGAAGCACTCATTTGTGCTCAAAATTGGCTAGTTGCTGGGCACTTTATCTCAGAATTTGCCTTTATGCTGACTGAATTTGACAACTTTCAAGAGATTTATAATGTTAATATTCCATATGATATTTGGAATTATATGCTTCTCAATTCTAAATTGCATATTTCATTAATATTATTATTGATTCCTTCTTATATGTGTATATATATAATTTTTTTTTGTTAGATGGATCCAGTATAACAGATGGTGGAGGAGAAAAATGAAAGAAACGTTTGATGAACAACATTATGGAAATTAGATTTCAATTGTTTGTTGTTCACTTGGTATTGTAATGTGTAATATTATAGACTTGATGTTATGATGGATTATATCATTATAACTTGTATTTTTATTGTTGTTGAA